GAACGAAATTTTAAAAAATTCCTAAATAATTCAAAAATTATTGTCTCTAATAATTAACTTATGATTTAATCTTTAAGAAGATTATATATTAATTCATCATTCTATATATTAATTCGTCTATTTTGTTCCATTATCTTTTTACGTATGAATTTTTGCGATTCTTTTTTCACTTTTTTCCTATATTAATAATATTTATATTTAATAATTATATCTATCCATTCATATCTATCTATATAATAATTATATCCATCTATGTATTTATCATCATGAGACGCGTTTTGATTTCTTTTTACTAATATTAATTTCTACTACTAGATACGTACGATAGTTTTAGTTGTTTTTCCACACATTCCAAGTTGAAATCCAATAATCATAAAATTATACATATTGCGTATATATTAGCAAATGAATATATGCGGTGAAAATTACATTTAGCCTAAAGGGATACGCGTATCCGGTATAAAAGCGGCGACATCGCATGTAAATTACGCGCAAGATACTTACAACTTTGTTTCAACAGGTCACTTTAATTAGAGAGCTTTGGAGCAATATTAATATTAATATCTCGCCTTGGTGTGTACACGCCTACGGCATTAATTAGTAACTTTGCGTTTCGTATTAATTTATCGTGCCGCTTAATAACACTTGCTCTACTGCACCTTGCGCATGTACAAGATTCCTTGCCACATCTTAATTTAAATCGTAAATTTTAACTACGTTAATTGCTAGATGTGTAACATAATGTGATGTATCCAATGTTAATTCACTTTAGTATTTCTTATATTCAATCTGTAACGTCATTTTTTTATCATCATCGTCTCACTAATAAAAAAGATTGCCGTATCTAATTTTGTTAGAAAAAAATTTTATATGTAATATGTAAATAAAATAATTTTTTAAAATAATTTTAATCAAAATCTGACATATCTTGCTGCTGGAAATATTATGATTTTGTAAACATTATCTATCTAAAACTAAATCTAAAATTTCCAATACTTTTTACAAGGACTCAATATGTTTAAACATAGTATACGTTTTATTATCGTCTCAAGAAGATGTTGCTGAAATGTAAGACACATACGCACAAAAGTATTAGTAGTTATTTGCCATTTCCTTTACATGTCTATGCTTTCGTCGGCCTTTTAATGAGCGTCTAATGATAGAAACAGTGTCAATGTACTTAACGGCTTATTGAGAGAAGCGATCAAAGGCGGACAACATGGAACGTCATGAAAAACGCAACGAACGAATGCTGTTTGCAAGTACAACATAGGATTAATCAATTATCGTACGAATATGCATTAAGCTCTCTTTTACATGTGAGATATTAGCATATATAACAATATATTATGTCTCGTCTTCATCTAAATGCTATATTTACTACAATTTATCTGTTACTGTCAGTTACTAAATCAATTATTAATTGCTTCCATATGAAAGAAGAATTTGAATCTGTTTCGCTTTACGTACACAATACTGAAAAATTTGAGCAAAAAGAATTGTATTGCGAAAACATATAATTAAAATAACATAAAAAAATTTCTCAATTCTAATGATCGATACATTATAGGCCTCTGTATTTCGACAATAAATCAACAAACTTGAAATCTCTGTGATTGCTTTTATCAAAATGTGTCAACGATTTGGCAAATGAAATTCAATCTAAAATTTATGTTCTCAGGAGATAGTTGGCGGATTTCCAATAGAAACAGAGCAACCGCAATCGCGTATGTTTTCTTTATCTCACTTATAACGTAATTGAGCGGATACATGCGATCCACTTGTTTGAACTTCGGAATATTTGCACGAATTTTAACCGCACACATGTTTGAATGTCCGCTCTCTTTGGCAGAATTCCATGATTCTTACAACAACCAGGAATTATTCACTGCGTAATAATGATGTTCACACGATCATTGTAACGGTCTATTATTACAAATAGACGATAAACGAAGTAAAATAATTGAGAAATATATTAGTAATTATTAAATAATTCTAATATATTTTGTTAAAACACCTAAATTCAAATTATGAATTACGTTACAGCAAAGCAAATGATGGAATGCAATTATAAAGAACTTTACTTTACACAAATACATAATAATAATAAGAAAGTATATTTATCACGAATATAATTATTTTATAAAATTATATTTTAAGCATCAAAAAACTTTCATTCATACTAATTTAATAATATCGTCGAATAATTAATCATGCAATTTTGGAACATACATTTCGCATTTAACATCAATATGCAATAATAATTTCTAATTAAAAAAATTATTAGCAAATAATAAATAATCATTTGAAAGATTCACTCTGCTTATTTGCTTTATTCAATTTTGAGAGCTAATATAAAGTTGCTTTCCAAATTTTTTGTAAACTATTTTTCTAGATGTATTTTTCTAGATGCGAATAAAAAATGTCAAACATGTGCACATAATGTACAATTAAATGACGTATAAAAATTTAATTTTTTCGAATGTAGGGGGGCTTTAAGTATCATATATGAGTTTTTTCGCTATGTACAATCTCCGTAATTTGTCTTATTGCTGTCAAGCTCTTCAACATAGCCGCACAAAACGTATGTACAATTATCATATGAAAACACGAGAGTGCATATGCGCAGTTTCACCGAACTGCATACATGTGAATATTACGCGTTCCCTTCTCTCTAGTGCATATTCGAAATACCTTTGATATGTATGGCAAAAGTAGCAATATTCTTTTTTCGCCTTGTATGATATTTTAGTTTATTGCCATGAATAATGTACAAATAACGGCACAAAAGCACATCCATTATTTATACCACAAGCATGAGAGAATATTTTTATGCAATGTAACAAAAAACAAATGCATTTAAAAATTATAAATACAATTTTTATATCATAATTTTTTTGTTGGCAATAAAAGATATTTCACTTATTTTACACATATCCCTCTATATAAAATAGTATTAATTATTTCATTAAAAAAGTATTAACAAAATATTTGTATTCAAAATACAAATAATTTCCATATGTTAGAATTGAACTTATTTAATAAAAATAATGATTTAAAACCTGTTACGCAATGTTTTATGATATATTCGTAAACGAAAAATTATTATAATTGTTTTGTAATATATAACAAAATAATACATCCTGAATAAATAAAATATTTCAAAAAAGAATTAATAAAAAAAAAGACATCTGTATAGCATATCACATGTGAACAATATAAACTAAGCTTGTAATTTGGAAAAAGTGTCACGTACGAGAATGTATTGCTCGCTGAAATTTATTGAACGTAATATTATTCTTAATTCTTCAAATTACATATATTTACACACGATATCTTACTCAATAATGCAAAAATGTAGTTTATAATTCAATAGGAAGGAAGGGGCATTTACACTTGACACATAATTTTTTCTATGAAATGTACGTAGCTATCGCGTCGTATGCAAGGAAATGCATCACGCATGATTTTTTCTATGAAATGTACGTAGCTATTGCATTGTATGCAAAGAGGAGATGCATCATCATGTTGCATTTAATTCGTCGAAGAGTCGCGCAGAAATCGAGCCGAGCGAGCGAGCATGTTTGTGGTTCCGTGGCGGACGTGTGGATAGAGATAACACATTAAAATAGTACGCCGGCATATATGCGATAACACGTATTTATAATATCTACTGTGAGACGTTTCTCGCGCGCCGATATTAAATAAAGTGCGTTCACAATATGCAGCGAGGCCGGGCGGTGGCGCCCATTGTCGACGCCTCTAACAATAAGAAAGATAGATACGACAGTTCGGATCAACTGTGTGAATTATCCCATCATTATACGATTGGTTCTGCTACATCAAAATTCATTTTACAATGCAATATTATTTTACAATTATTTATTTACATATATATATATATACATATATATATATATATATATATATATATATATACGTATATATATACGTATATATATATATATATATCAATTATATATACAAGAATGAGATGATAAGTTTCCGGCTTGATAAAGAAAAAAAAGAAAAAAAAAGTTTTTTTAATTTTTTTTTTAATTTTATTTTTCCACACAATCTCCACAAAGATTAATATATTTTTCATAACGATGCTCTAATGCAGTGATAGCAACTTTATAGTGCGATTCGTCGAGCTCCTCAAAATACCCATTTACAGATAACGATGACTAAAATCAACGAATTAAAGTTCGAATTGTATCCCCAACCGTCTTATTCGCCAGATTAGCACCCAGCGACTATCATCTATTTCCTATCAATGTCAAAATATGGCTCGGTGGAAAAAAATTTAAGAACAATGAGGAAGTCAACGCTGTAAATGATTTATGATATAAATATTGTCACTCTGATTCATGATATAAATATCGTCACCGAATTTCTAGCAATTTATAAAGCAATGTTTTATATAAATCCTATTTAGTTGAAAAAGATTTATATTGATTAGAAATAGCGTATCTTGATCATAGCGAATCAAGATTCGAGTGTCTCACGCTTTCGCGGCTACGTGTAATGAATGCGGATAATTGTTGCATTTTTATTTCAGCTGTTGTTAATAGGCATGATTTGCACAAATCGCGCATCAAAGTACTACGTCCATATACGGATACGATCTGTATATCATGCGCGTTTCTATTCGTCTTATATCGCAAATGAATATTACACGAAAACATTTTACAGTTAAAAATACATATCACTCTTTTATTAATATCTCATCTTGCCTTTGTCTTTAATCGAGCGAAAAATAACATTTGTTATTAATATAATAATTCGAAAAATCTTGAATATCGATATATAAGTTATTGTTAAACAATATTTAATGGTAAAGTTATATTTTATAAAAATAAAAATTGTTAGAATTATATCATTAAATTATAATTTAAATGTCGATTATAAAGAAAATATAATTTCATGTGTTTGTATTGTATGTAATGTAATTTCGTGTATTTGTGTAACGTCTAATAGTGAATAAAATGCAAGCTTACCTAAACAACATCGCAGCGCGATTCAAGAAGAAGATGATCGAAGTTTTGATGTTACGTTGCGAGCATAATGCTGCCAATCTGTACTCTTCACAGTTTCAGCCTGGACGACAAGCCACCTGGAAGATATAATAATGCAAAGCTTGAAGAATAATTAAAGAAATCTTACGTATAATAACGGATAAAGTATATATTACAGTCGGATAAAGTATATATTACAAAATTGATTACAGCAAAAACATGTAGACAAAAAGTGATAATATGAGAGATGTGTACGTTTTTTATTCCGGCATTGACGTAATAAAGCATGTTAAAATAGAAGACAAACTTAAATTTGCATATTTGTTATTTTTAAATTTGTATTTATAAGCTGCGTTATATACATATTTATTACGAGAGATTACACAGAGAATATAATCTTTTTTTATTAAGAGAAATATATTTAAAAAAAATATATTATTAGAAATTTTGGATATATTTATAATTAAAAAGTTATTTTCCTAGAAATATATTTTTATATTAGCTATATACATTTTTAATATTATTTTAACGAAAGAAAAATATTGATTTTTTTAAGGCTTTTTAATGTATTAAAATTAATAATATATAATAATATTAATGATAATAATGATATTAATGATATATAAAATTAATGATATATATTGCCAATATAATGTAGTAAATAATATGAGTTTTAAGGAATGTCGCAGAGAAAATTAAACCTACTGTGATCACGTTTATACAGCTGCGAGAATCAGTGGATCTCAAAAAAAATGTGTGGTTGATGCCGCAGATCGTTACATCTACGATTGTGGCGATCGTCGCGATCCGTTATGATCGATAACCGAGGCACGAAGGGATTTTGCGGTCATGGTGCGTCCGAGACAGCATCGTGGAAATAACGGATGCGTAATCTCGTGAACTCGATTTAAACGACCAGATTAAACACACCTGTTTGGCGCGTGTCGCGTCTATCAACGCCACGATATACCGTCTGGCCACTGTAAATATATAATCAGATGCGTAATTGAAGTGACACTCACGGATTCCTAATCGATGGGCTATTGTGAGCCGAATTAAGTCGGCGCACAGGTAACTTTAAAATTTACATTATACGTAACTTGCATATCAAAACATTCTTCAATAGAGTTTATATTGCTTTGTAATTACATTAAATGCGATCGTACATGATGATTTTTTTAAGAATATTAACACATTGGCAGATTGTATCTCAAATCCTTGAACAGAAATGAAATATTATCTTCCATTAATTTCTTATTAATTAGAATCTTGTTCAGTAAAAAAAATAAAATGCTCATTAATATTTCGAAGTCTAATATATGTGATTTAATTAAATTTTGCTAAGAAAAATTATTTCAGCAAAATTTTTGTCAACAAAAAAGTTGTCAAATACGATTATTACTCACGCTTATTAATTATGCTTATTACTCTGTATAATATAATTTAAATAATTGTATTTACATTTTCGAGTAACGCCATGAACTGAGTTACAATTTCATTTAAATAATTTATTTTATCCTAAAATTAATGATTTATGAGTGATATAAGATAGATATAAGAATTTAAACGATTAAATCTCTGACGACGACAATATACAGAATCCAATGTTCAATTTAAATTTAGCCTTTCTATTGCACTATCAGTTCGAATAAAGCAAATCGAACTCAACTTAATTTCGTTACCCGTTTTAAATTATAGTTACATGAATGGAGAATTAAGAAAATAATTCCAAAAACTAAAAAAAAATAAAAATAAAAAAAATTATCCTCCAAAGACATTAAAGCAATTGATTTATAATTCCATATTAAGAAATTTAGTTCTTTTATTATTACTAATCTTTTTTTAAAATCATTATAAAAGAGTATAATGTGGCGAAGTGGATTAAAAATATCCGATTTTGATATTCGTATAAACATTAACCTTATATACTTTATATACATGAACAAGTCGTATATAATATATTATAATAGCGGTGTCTGTAAAGCTGGCTCGACAATCTACGAATTTAAAAAAAATACTAAGAGTTCTGATAGCACTTTTCATAGTTCTACAGTTCTTCATAAAAATTAAAAAGAGTTCCGCATTCCTCATATTAAAAAATCGAAATCGAAAAAATGTCGTGCTAACTTCGCGAATCTAGCACGACACTCTTCCCTCTAAAGTACCAAAACGCATTCAATATTATTATTTTTAGCAAGAGTTCCCGATAGTTCTGTTCAAGTTCAGTCTATATATGCAATTTCAGATCGATATTTCAAAAAATAATAATTTTTAAACAATTTTTAAGATTCTCGCCCAGCACGACATTCTCCCTCTAAAGTACTAAACCGCGTTGAAAATTATTATTTCTAATAACAGTTCTCAATAGTTTAGCCCATATATGCAATTTCTGACCGATATTTCAATAATTAATAATTTTCAATAATTAATAATTAATAATTAATAATTTTTTACGAATTTTTAATGTACTCGATCAGCATGACACTTAGAAAAAATGTGTCGTGCTGATGATTTCCCGTAGTTATAACGGCAGTTCTTAATAACAGTTCTATATAAGTTCTATCTTTTAGAAACATTTTTACGTAGAGTTCCGACCGATTACTATGACTCGTACCGATTATTTGTAAAAAATTATTTAAAAAATAGTAATCGGTTGGAACTCTGCGTAAAAATCTTTTTAAAAGATAAAACTTATATAGAACTGTCCACAACTGCCGTTAAAACTACAAAAAGTCATCAGCATTTTTACGAAGTGTCGTGCTGATTGAGTACATTAAAAATTCATAAAAAATTATTAATTATTGAAATATCGGTCAGAAATTATATATATGGGCTGAACTATCGAGAACTTATTAAAAATAATAATTTTCAACGCGGTTTAGTACTTTAGAGAAAGAATGTCGTGCTGGACGAGAATCTTAAAAATTTTTTAAAAATATTATTTTTTGAAATATCGATCTGAAATTGCATATATAGGCTGAACTTGAACAGAACTGTCGGGAACTCTTGTTAAAAATAATAATATTGAACGCGTTTTGGTATTTTAGAGACAAGAGTATCGTACTAGATTCGCGAAGTCAGCATATTTTTTCAATTTCGATTTTTTAATATAAAGAATGCGGAACTTTTTTTAATTTTTATCAGGAATTGTAGAACTATGAAAAGTGCTATCAGAACTCTTAATATTTTTTTATATAATTCGTGGATTGTCGTGCCAGCTTTACAGATAATAGCGCCTATCGATTATGACATATTCGCCAAAGGAAATATTCCGATGCTTATTTTTGTAGTCATCAATTATATAAAATGCTGGACGCAATCAATTATAAAGAAAAAAAAATATGAAATAAATAAAAAATTATTTAAAAAATATTCCATGAATAAATGTTTCCTTATTATACGAGTATATGGTATATATGTAAAGCAAAAAATATAAATTTAATAAAATCTTCCAATCAAAATAGAAGAATGAGGATATATTGTATATATCTTTTTGTATTTTATCTGTTAATGTTAATTGAAACATTAACGTTCTAAAAAAACTTTGCAATTTTTTCTACAATATTTTCTGGTTTGATATAATGTACAATATAATGTATATTAAACCAGAAAATATTGTAGAAAAAATTGATTTTTATTATATAACATATCATATATATATATGTTATAATAAAATCTGTGATTTTCTCTCATTAGGCAAAAACAGCATCAAAACAATGACTTCAATCAAAAAAATCCAAACGTTATAATAATTGTATAAAAATTTCAATGAGAATATGAAGAAAACATTACATATATGTAAAGCTTTGCTCCAAAAAATTAGATGATTATTTTGCGTTATCATACCCTGAGAAATCAATATAAAATCCTTAAAGAAAATTGCTTCTTAACTACGTGGAGAGGGCTGTGTCAGTTCAAGGTGCAATGAACACAGGAGAGAGATTTCACTATTAGTACACACGGTGCATCGGATAAAAGAGAGGGAGAAAGAGAGAAAGAGAGGAAAAAAGGAGAGAAAGAGGAGGAAAGAAAGGAAAAGAGAGACACAAAGCGAAGTCCAGATATAGACTGGTTACAGGTAATAGTTCGGTAGGTGGTAGTGGTAGCGAGCAGTAGGACCGGTAGGTTTGGTTTACTTCGGGTTTGTGTTGCGGCCAGCCACTCTTCTTCTTCTTCTTCTTCTTCTTCTTCTTCTTCTTCTTCTTCTTCTTCTTCTTCTCCCTGCGACTCTTTTTTCCTCGCATTTTTTTCTTCGTATCGATGTCGCAGCCACCATCATCGTTCTCTTCCTTCTCACAGTCATCTCTCGTCGCCATCTCCTCCTCGTTCATGATCTTCCTCTATCCTTTTTTTCACGGCGCTTCCTTACTCCTGCTTATTTTAACGTCGATAGGGGAGATGCAACAAAGTGCATTCACAAAAATAGCGCCGTGTTAACACATTTGTTGAGTATGTTTGCGCTGACGTTGCCTCGTTTTTCATTTTTCTTATTTTTTTGCACCTGATATTAGATGTGGTTTTTCGAATTGATGAACCTTTTCGTGCTTACGGCTCGACGAAATGCGGTGAGAATGGTCGACACGGTCTTTCTCGAAAGTCTCTTTGTTGCTACCGGCGACTTTGACGGAGGCGTGTCTATGTCGACAGGCTACCATTAAGACGAGTAAATATATTTTTGTGCAATCTAGATGCAATGTAATTCCCGGATTGAGTGCAACTTTTTTTCCGCGGGCCCCATGGTCTGACGATATTATATTACGATAATATATTCATAAAGTTTACTTAACATTATAATTCCCGTACTCGACAGCCTATCAAACGTGAACTCCACACTCTTATTAACATAACCGTTGTTTGAAATTTCATTTATCACTCGATTAAGCCATCCATTTTTAATTAGTACCTTATTAAAAAATATAAAAAAATAATTAAAAATTTTATCTCGAAAAAAAAAAAGGAATATAATATATTTGTACTCCAAGAATGGACTAATCGCTCGCAAATCAAGAATAAAAGCATTGCCACATGATTCGTAGAGCTTGTCATCGTTCAGCGACACGACACACAAAAGCAAACGTCAAGCAAAAGACAACGGAAT